TCTTTGATTATTCTCTCCGTTCTAGAAAATGTTAATGCTTGGGGAAGTAGAAAAACTTTGCACCCACTCCAGACCTTTGAGGAGTTATACAACACAGTATATTCCTCCAGTAATTTGATTTCTATAGGGCATATATAACAATTTACCGTTCCCTAAAAGAAATGTAAGTATTCCCGAGCAATAAATGAAATAAATATATCAGCATGGTCTAGGTAACTAACCAATATGTCAGAGTTTCTCAACAACAGTTTCAAGCTTACAGGACAATTTGCGTTAGAAAACTAGATACCTGGATAGCTGAAGAAGCCCACGGGAACATCATTAAGCAGGTCAACGAATAGAGCCCAACTCTGCAGTCTTAGTAAACATTATACAAAAAGATGACAACGAAAGTTCAACACTGAAACTCACTTTTGCAACATTGATCAAGCCAGCGAAGCAGTGGAAAGTGGATTTAAATGGTCCGCCATTATATTCTTATCTACACCTCTTTGGTTAAGCCTAACAGTGACCCATATTACCTTAACCAAAGCCGAGATGTCAACCTGTTTCATGTATTACTGTTAGCAAGACTGACATATCAACCTGTTTCATCTGTATGCAAATCTGACATGCTAACTTGTACCAAAAGAACCTTGTATCGCTCTTCACTCTGATAATGGTTCCGTTTCTGATTGTGTTGTTTTGAATTAAATTTTGCATCCAAGTCTAATTTTTAACGACCTATATATTATATTAATGTGTGTGTGGTACGTTTGTCTTGTACTTGTAATTACTTCACGTTGACACTCTAGTTTTACGCTGCCTCGTATGGAATTATTTTACAGTTGTATTATCATTCCATACACTTGTATATAATCATTAAATAAACTTGTATAATCATTCCATAAACGATTGTCAAATATGAATGATTTACACATATCAACCAAACATGTTATTGCTTTGCCATCTTTCACTGTAACTATCTTTCACAAATAAAATACAATGGCGTTTAATTATTATTTTAACTATTTTTATATTATCAAGTTAGTTGACAAAAAATGTCAATTAAATTATTATGAACGATCTCATTAAGAGGTCTATTAGCAGGGCGGCTCGGCCACCATCTCTCTAGTGGCCAACGTATTTAAAACCTATTTAACCTTACCCAACCTACTATATAGCCGTAATGGCTATATAGTCCTCCTATAAAGCTCTGTAATTACTTTATACACTCAGGAATTTTGTTAGATATTCTTGTGCTGTACCCAGATTTGTCCTAATGGGGGCTAATAGATCCCCCTTACTAATAGCCTTACATTTTATGTTCTCACCTGATTTTTAGTCGATTTGTTTTTGTATTGAGGCTGGTATTTTCTCCCCTGATGCCATATATGACTAACCATCCTGTGAGATGGGAATATTAGATGAACTAGTTTTTATCTATTATAATATTTTTCTTTTATCTACTAGTTTTTATCTACACTGTAATCTTTCATATGGAATAGGGTAGCACCACATTGATGTGTATACCTAAGCTTGTTAAAAAAAAAAGTTCCTAACACACTAGCAATTCGACAAGTTTCCATAATTTTCAACAATTGAAAGGCTTCCTTTCGGTCGATCTAACACCTAAGACTGTCGAAAGAAAAATCAGACATTTGATTACAACACATAATTAACTTTCACTAACTTATTACAATTAAATCCTGCTGAAAATTCTGAAGTGACTTATGCTTATGACTTGAATCATCAGTTTTCGCGGCAGTAAAGAAGTGTTTGAACATCGTTTCGCTACACGTAATATATCTTCTGCCATTGTTTTATATTCAGCTACTCGAAACAAAAATTCCAAGTAGCACGGGCTATGGTGAGCCCGTAGTGGATTTGCACTGTATCTATTTACCTGGCAGTAAATAGGTATACGGGAGTTAGGCATTTGTGGGTTGCATCCTGGAAAAGGTCATCAGTAGTTGGGCAATAGTAGGGAAGGAAGGGGACCTCAATTAACCTAATTACACTATACCTATCCCTAACAACGGTCCGTGTCCTGATCGAGATACTGCCCGTGATTGTTGGCAAGCTGTATATTTAATTACCCAAATTTTGATAACTACAACCTACTGTACTTTCTTTTGGGGTTGGGCTTAAAGCCTATCATCTTTTGGAGATCACTACAATAGATCATCCAGCAAATAGAAGTGAGAAACTACGCATGAAATATTAAGTAGTCTCACAGGATTTTGTTGAAGACCCAAATGTTCAGCACTAAATTATAAACAACATTATTGTATACTTTAGTGCTACGACTACTTTCACTATTCTTTCAAGTGAAACTCCGTTTTCTCTCAGAAATGAGGGAGAGAGAATGGTATAAACATTTAAGTACAAGTAATGATAAACTATTTGATTTAATGTTATCTATGTAATAGAAATATGTCTGTCTGCCCACAAGATGGGAATGGGGTGCATAATAAATGAATTAAACTGAACTGTCTGTTCAAGGCAAGAGGTCAGACGATTGTAGTTAATTTCACCGTGGAAAGTTGCGTGAGGCTGTGATTGCATTGCGAGTAACATAGGGTGATTGGGATCGACTTCCATGCCTTTCTTTAAGCAGGATTTGTTCATATTGGGAAAATCAACGATTCCTCTGAAATTTAAAATGTGGATTTGAATGTCCAGAGAGTTTTACAATTAATTCACAGCTGTTATCGGCATTACTTCTACTCATATAACTTCAATCTAACGTCGATAATGTTGATTTAACTTTAATGGTAATTCAACGTTCATTTAACTTCACTTGAGCATAGTTTTTCCAACTGGAGAGAGAGAGAATGGGCGGGGGAGGGAGGAAGAATGGAAGGGAAAGACAAATGGATAGAGACCCAGGCACCGTCGAGACCTTATCTACTTAGCATATAAAATTCCTGTTGTCGGAAACAGGAAGCCTGTACTTAGTTTTATCGAGGTCCCACCTACCCCCCCCCCCCCCCCCCCCGAGGCCAACTATCGAATTTTTCCAAGATGCAACAGGCGTCTAACTCCCGAGTACTTAATCACTGTCAGGTGGGCAGAGGCGGCAGGTGAAGGAACACGTATGCAAACGTTTCTGCCCTGCCACAGAAACCAAACTGTTGTGAACAGTATTGCTATGCAGAACTATGACCGATACTTACAGTTGTCACCATCGACGCTTGATGGTGTTACATGTCACAGTTTTTTACCAGTTGTATGTCAACTGTGACGTGTGACAAGTCACCGGCGACACTAACTTGTGACACGGCGCATCACTGAAAGTGTTCTGTTCGTGGCGCAGTGGTATAGTGGTGATATAGACCTCTGTAGGACAGTTGGGGTTCGCTCATGACTTACAATCTGGAATCCCGGGTTCGAGTCCCGGCCGGGACAGATGGAAACAAACTCGTCTAATGGTTAGACGGGTTTCCTTGCACTTAATGCTTCTATTCACCTGACAGTAAATAGTTAACCAGGAAATACTCAACTGTTGTGAGGGGAGGGCGGGAGGGGGGAGGGGGGGTGTCATCCTAGGGAGGGAAAGCAGTTCTACCTTAGGGGGGAGCCACGATACAAGCCTAAATTACGACAAAGGCCGAATTAAACACGCGAGTCATAGATTACTAAAACTCTTAAGAAATCACAAGGAAAGCGAAATAGACATTTGATCAGGTGGTTAGGTAAAAATAACCAAGAAGATAATTATATCTAATAAGATTATATATATAATCTTTTTGATCCCACATGCTTAGTCAGTTCTCACTGAAGTGCCTTTGACGAGATTTCGAAGATGGCAGTCTCATTAATGATTACTAAAGTATATTAATATGGATTTGGGATTTATTATTATTACGAACTAAAAATTGTTGCCATTATGGGTCATCGTATGTTTTCCAATTTTCAGGGACAGGAAGCCTATTTGGGATCATCAGGGATTCCCGATAGGAGCTAGACCAAAGACTGATGACTCCCCCCCCCCCCCAAGATGCTACTCACAATTGTTAAACTCCCGGGTAAAATCATTTATGATTATTACTCGGTTCTCACAAGTCTTTGTACTGTAAAACGTCGATTGACGTAAACCTTATCTGTTTGATGATGACCAGACCACACACTAGAAGGTGAAGGGACGACGACGTTTCGGTCCGTCCTGGACCATTCTCAAGTCGATGACTTCTCGACTTTAATCGACTTGAGAATGGTCCAGGACGGACCGAAACGTCGTCGTCCCTTCACCTTCTAGTGTGTGGTCTGGTCATCATACTTTAGCCACGTTATTGTGACTCATCGTCTGCATATGTATGATGTTGGGTTTAACGTTAACATCCTCTGGAAGGTTATCATGGCAACCACAGTAGTTTACTGGCCAACCAGCAGGAATACTGTGGTCCTGAACATAGTCAAGGACTAAAGTAAACTCGGGTATATACATCGAGAAGTGGATTACACTTTTGTATATGTATATTATTATATATATAATGTACCTAGTAACCAGAATGCACTTCTCGGCCTACTATGCAAGGCCCGATTTTCCTAATAGGCAGAGTGATTTTCTTTTTCAAAAAATCTTTTCCACTGGGTTTATTTTAGTTAATAATATTATATTAAAAACAAAAATTATTGTCAGTTATGTTAGTTTAGGTGAGGTTAAGATAGGTTAGGTTGGTTAGGTTCGGTCATATATCTACATTAGTTTTAACTCAAATTTAAACAAATTAACTTATGAAATGATAAATCTGGCTATTTCATTATGTATAAGGAAAAAAATTGAAAAATATATAAATTCAGGAAAACTTGGCTTATTATGCAAATCGGGGCTTGCATAGAAGGCCGAGTACTAGAAGGCCTAGTTCTGGCTACTAGGTACAACATACATATATATATCCATCCTCTAGCGTGGTATATTGAGGTCATAACTTATACGTGAATTGACGTTGGCCGTAATCTAATGGTTAAGATGGCCAAAACATTAACTGCAAGTTAAAGGGATAACTGACACAATCTTAATTTTAATTTTCTTTAAAAATAAAATCCCATAAATTGCAATAGATGATACAGATACTGTGTGAACTATCACTATTTACATATTTATAAAGGACTATTCTAAGAGATTAGCTATTTACCAAAAAACTAACTTCCTGCTGGAGAAAATGTCTCTCCCGCACGTTACCTGTAAAAAATGAAACACGAATTAATTTAATTAAAAGATGGCTATCTACCACTCAGTGGTAGATAGTGATCTACCACTGAGTGGTAGATACAGTGGTTATCATTCAACCTACACTAACAGTAGACAATGTGGTAAACATCTTTACAGAAACCTGTCCTCTTACAAATTACTTCTGAATTTGGCCGTCTGCCCGAAAATGGACATAATTTGGAAATGAAAAAAATTGAAAATAAATTTTGGATTTTTTTTCCCAAGACAGTAAGTTAAGGGTTCTCTGGTAGGTTAGGAGGGCAGGTAATTCTCCTAAAGTTTCAAAACGCCATGAAAAACGTTAATTGCGAGTTTCCTCTCCTAACCTTACCGAGAAAGCCGGAGGACTCACAGAAAACGGGACAGTATATTTTCGTGAGCCGATTTCATTTCAAATTATGTCCATTTTTTGGCCATAGCGCGCATACGGGCGAAAAGCGACGTTATTTTTAAGAGGACGGGTTGCTCATTTACCCAACCCTGTCTTAACCATTAATCACCTTCTATATAATCACCAATTTACCTCTTATCTATTCATAACCCATGTATAACATGTAACATACCTATGTTATATAATATAACATAGGTGTATACAATACCTATGTATTTATCATTCTTAAAACAAGTAACCTCAAGCCAATTATATTTAACCATAATCCACACTAACCAACGTCGTCTCCTCCCCCCCCCCCCCACCCCAAAAAAAATCGCAGCGCCTCTAGCAATTAACTGGACGGCAGCGTACCCGGCGATGAAGGCCTCGATATCCTTCGAGTTAAATATCTTGCAGCTGCTCCCATCAACGAACCAACGGTGCATATTGTAGACTTTGGTCGTGTTGTCGCTGTGGAGACGCTCGCACAGGTCACAGAAAGGCTTGGCTACCAGAACCCAGTCGTGCGGCTGTTGATGAAAGCGCTTCCATCTGAAAGAAGGTAAAATTTATTTTACTAAAAATAATGTATAATATGTAGGATGCCTGTTGACTCGTTCAAGGCCTTTTCAACCTCTGGAGGGTTATTAAGGCCACCACAGGTGCTTACAGACAACCAGTAAACTCTTAGTGTATACAACTGTATATATATACTTATGATGGTATTAAGTATTAGTTTTTCAATAAAACTAATAATCCCTCAAGGATTCGAACCGCGGCCCCCAAGCTGTAAACAACTAACAACCCAGTTCTATAGCCGCTCAGCCAGCGATGGCCTTATAAGTATAGGAAGACCGTGAAATTCTCATACATCCTACACCCCGTTATACTGCTGATTTACAGGCACACATATTTCATCTGTTCCTTTAACATATTGGGATCGCTTTGGGCATCACACGAATGTGCGTTTAGCTTGAATGGTCCAAGATAAATTTTTCCACAATTCTATAATCGGCTAGGGGGGTTAATGTGACGTTCTGCCGGCCTAGGTTAATTCCTTAAGGGTTCATTTGAATTTATTTGTTTATACACATTAATTTTAATTATATACAATAATGTTGACCAGAAGCAATTAAAAGCTAATTATATTTTAGTAACTTATGTCATAAATTATGTTTGTGGATGCCCCGTATACATATAAAATTATGTATAGGGGGCCTGACAGTTGAGTGGACAGCACTTCGGATTCGTAGTCCTGAGGTTCCGGATTCGATCCCCGGTGGAGGCGAAAACAAATAGGCAATTTTTTTTTTCACCCTGCTGCCCCCTGTTACCTAGCATAAATAGGTACCTGGGAGTTAAGACAGCTGCTACAAGCCGCTTCCTGGGGTGTGTAACAAAAAGGAGGCCTGGTCGAGGACCGGGCCTCGGGGACGCTAAGCCCCGAAATCATCTCAAGATAACCAAGATGTGATGTTAGAGAGCAGAGATGGTTGAGAGAGAGTATAACATCTGACGACACCAAGACTAGAAGCACTAGTGGAAATTGGTATGAAATGTTTAGAACCGAGTTCACTAGACAGTGTGACTGTGATTACAAGAAAAAGGCTGGAATATCGATAATTATTATGGCAGTTGGCTGCAGGTAACTAGTCGCACGAAGGTGAGTATTCCAATTGTAAGCTGTAAATCCCAATGTCAGAGACAAGATATCAGTGTATATGTATACTTCAGGCTTGTATCGAGGGCCTCTCAAGGTCGAACTACTGACCCTCCCCCAGGATGCAACCCCTCAAGAGTTGACAAACTCCCGGATACTTCTTAACTACTATGTGAACAAGTGAATTAGGTGAAATAACATATGGCCAATAATTTGTCTCAACAGATATATTTTAATTTATTAATTTATATTTATTTCTGAACTGACCTAAAGTATTCATTGTAAGCCGTGTCGTTGTTGTTGAGGTAGATGAGGTAGAGCGCCAGAGACTTGACGGTGGGGAACTTGAGAGCATCAATGTAAGAGTGTGGCGGTGCGCAAGCAGAGTAGTTGCCCAGTCCGTACACCACAGGAACCACGTCCAACCTGCCGGTGGACCTGAACTTTTACCAACCTTTACCTAAGGGCCACTAATACTAGTGGCCTCGACGCGGACAGGAAGCTCGCGGCTTGTCAAAGGTCCCCCCCCCCCGCCGTTTTTACTCTGATTTTACTATCCACAATTCTGCCGCACTACTAAATGAACATATTTATGCAATGAATACTTAATTTTCAGACTAAATAAGCCGTAATCCAATTTCTCGGAGCAATAACAATAAATGATCATTAGAGACTGTGACATCACAAGAGTCAAGGATCGGTTATCACTTGGGATCATTCAAGGCTGTACTTATCGATTCATACGACGAAAACACAATTTTTGACTACTGCTTTCTAGATCACTATATAAACTTTTTTTTTAATTATCTCAGAAATACCGAGACTAAAATTTAACATGTAACAATATTGCATTTAACCTCCCACCCTCACAACGTATTGCCTCCTCAAAATATTGATACTGTATATCGTATGCTATTTTCACAAAGTCCTTCGGGGCGACCTCTATTGGATTTACCTATACTTAAATTATCCATAAATATCCTGTTTTCAAGAAGTTCCGTGCTCGGAAAACGGTGGCGAAAAGAAGAAACAGTGGCCAACCTCCTTCCTCAGAAGTTGTGTGAGCACTGAGGATATTTGTCAAAACATGGCCACTCGGCCCCCAGAGACCTCTGGCGGGCGAAGGCACAATCATACTTCAGCTAATTTGATTGTTACTCATATGTCTTAGCAGCCTTAGGGTTGTTGTTGTTAAAGATTAGCTACTTGGAACAAAAAGTTCCAAGTAACACGGGCTATGGTGAGCCCGTAGATAGTTATTAGCCTTAGGGGCTGCTTAGTCTACTTTACGACCGTGGCTGCTGTACGTCCTCTAGAGTTGCCCCAACAGACAAAAGATGGTATATTAAAACGTGCGTACCCAAGCCACCTTGCACATCTGTGTCAGGTGAGTGCGACGGGCTCACCATAGCCCGTCCTGCTTGGAACTTTTTGTTCCCAGTAGCTGAAACTTAAACAACAACAACAGCCAAGCCACCAACCTGACTTAACTGATCACCCATAGAAAACGCGGTTGTTTGTTCGCTGCTGTCATGTCAATACAGCACGCGTATTTTGTATCTTGGGGGATTTTAGTGTCAAAATACGACCTATTATTTGAGATGAACCAGGGTGCCAGGCCATATTGAGATATTGCCAGGGTGAGCGGATAACTTGGAGGTCGTGAACACGCTCAGAGCTGCAGTGTACAGAGGTAAGGAGGAAGTGATATTTATGAAAGCCTGGAAGTCTATTTGGAATGTCGTATGAAATGTAATTGAAATTTTGCAAATATTGGGAAATAATAGGCTTTTAACACATCTTGTGTGATGGTACTGTATGATGCACTTGCGTCATATGTAGCCAATAGTCTATACCGATGTGTTTATTTCCGTCCTCCTAATGAAACGTCGCATTTTGACGTACACTCTACCTAAGGCCAAAAATTGTCGTACTAGAAAATGGTAGCGGCTCGCGAAATTGACCCACTGTCCTGTTTTCTGTTTTGGGTCCTCTGGCATGTTTGGATAAGGGCACTTTAGTACGACAGTTTCCTGACGTTGGGGAACCTTAAAATGACGGGCGGGTTTTCGGGTCTATTTTCACGGCATTCGTTTTTTTTTAAGTTATCCTTTTAATGGATGCCTCTTAAACTTGAATGATGAAATTCCTGCAATGGAAAAGGATAGACGGTTTACTTAATGCGGAACAAAGACGTGAGATTAAAGACAATACACCCACGAGAAAGATATATAGACACATCTCCTCAGCCCAATTACATGCTAGAGGATATATATATATATATAGGGCATATACTAGTATAAAATGGATTTATGCTGCATATATACAGGGAGATAAGGGTTCACACACACATGCTGGTCTTTACGACAACGATCTGTGGAAGGTCATTAGGCCAAAACGCCGTGTTTTAATTATAAGACACAGTGGTCATTCCTATATCCATGGAAGAAAAGAGAAGAGGTAGCCTGCGTCCGGCGAAGATTAAAATGATATGTATGAGTAAATGAAACAATGACAAACATGGGAGTCTCCAGAGTAATGCAACTTGGGAAAGTAGTATGATTAATTGTGAGTGTATAAGCCAGTGTTTGGCTAACCTTTCGTCCAGCCGTCTAAGGAGCCCTGTAAATGATCATTCTTAAACTTATTCTGATAAATTTTTATATGCATTATTCCAGTAAATGTAGAAAATCGCAAATTATAGTATTTGTTATATAAGTATTTGTTTTCGAGAATAGCAGACTGCTTGAAAATCAACTTTTTATTAGCAAACCTCAACTTGTTGAAGAATTTCTCAGTGACGTAATCCTGACACAGGGAATTTTCAAAGGCCAGGTAGAACTTGTAATGAGAGTTGAGCATTGGGAAACAGACCTCTGCTTCTTGTTGCCTATCACATTTCAACTCCCCACAGGCACCAAACTGATCCACGGTGATCCACTGCCTCAGTTTTTCCACCACCCTAATTTGAGAAGAAACTATTTAATAATTTAAGAACATTCTTGTTTACAATTTTAACTCTTTTTGACAAGACATGCGTATTAAACTTTACGATCTTTGGCTTAAAAGCATAAAGCTTTAAATTTATATTTAATAAATGGTTGCCTGAAGGGGTGTGAATTACTTTTCTCTGCCACTCATCGTATTGCAGTTGGAAACAAACCAGGCGGCCATTTTGGTCTTGTTGGCCGCGTAATTTCTCTCTTGAGGCTGGAGAGGCTTCGTACGGCGAAACACTTGTCCGTACCTGCAAGTAACAAACACCTTCAAATCGCATATCACACCCCATTAAATCACAACGTCTCCCTGAAGAAATAAAGAACATGTTTCAATAATGGTAGTTCAAATATGTTTATTGAGACAAGAAAGAAATACATCTCAAAGGGATAGAGTAGTTTAGGCTATTTCTACCCTCCTGATGGTAGTGACGCTGACATTTCAGTAATGAAAGCTGACTTACAGGTTCGGGAAATCCGAATCACGTCTATAGGTGAAGGTCCAGTTGAAGATGTTCTTGTAGGAACCCAACTCCCCAAAGAGATACGAGGCGGATTCCATCACCCAGAACACGTAGCGAGTATGTGGAGACCTAAATTCATCACGAGAAACTATTATGAATTGCTATGTCAAGTCATCAGTAATATAAGATTTATAAGAGAGGGTGCTTTAGTATTAATATCAAACTGATCTATATAAATAAGGTATATACTTAAGATCAAAAATGATCCGAATTTAAGGATCATTCTAACTCACAATTTGCTCAGTACTGTAAAATTTGGTTATCTTATGGCTGACTATTGGTCGAACACTAGAGGCCTTGTTCTAGCCTCAGTACTTGTGGTCTAGTTCTGGCCCCAATACTTGCAGCCTAGGTCTAGACCATAACTTGCAGCCTAGGTCTAGACCATAACTTGCAGCCTAGGTCTAGACCATAACTTGCAGCCTAGGTCTAGACCATAACTTGCAGCCTAGGTCTAGACCATAACTTGGAGCCTAGGTCTTGACCATAACTTGGAGCCTAGGTCTAGACCATAACTTGGAGCCTAGGTCTAGACCATAACTTGGAGCCTAGGTCTAGACCATAACTTGCAGCCTAGGTCTAGACCATAACTTGCAGCCTAGGTCTAGACCATAACTTGCAGCCTAGGTCTAGACCATAACTTGCAGCCTAGGTCTAGACCATAACTTGGAGCCTAGGTCTAGACTATAACTTGCAGCCTAGGTCTAGACCATAACTTGGAGCCTAGGTCTAGACCATAACTTGCAGCCTAGGTCTAGACCATAACTTGGAGCCTAGGTCTAGACCATAACTTGCAGCCTAGGTCTAGACCATAACTTGGAGCCTAGGTCTAGACCATAACTTGGAGCCTAGGTCTAGACCATAACTTGCAGCCTAGGTCTAGACCATAACTTGCAGCCTAGGTCTAGACCATAACTTGCAGCCTAGGTCTAGACCATAACTTGCAGCCTAGGTCTAGACCATAACTTGCAGCCTAGGTCTAGACCATAACTTGCAGCCTAGGTCTAGACCATAACTTGCAGCCTAGGTCTAGACCATAACTTGGAGCCTAGGTCTTGACCATAACTTGGAGCCTAGGTCTAGACCATAACTTGGAGCCTAGGTCTAGACCATAACTTGGAGCCTAGGTCTAGACCATAACTTGCAGCCTAGGTCTAGACCATAACTTGCAGCCTAGGTCTAGACCATAACTTGGAGCCTAGGTCTAGACCATAACTTGCAGCCTAGGTCTAGACCATAACTTGCAGCCTAGGTCTAGACCATAACTTGGAGCCTAGGTCTAGACTATAACTTGCAGCCTAGGTCTAGACCATAACTTGGAGCCTAGGTCTAGACCATAACTTGCAGCCTAGGTCTAGACCATAACTTGGAGCCTAGGTCTAGACCATAACTTGCAGCCTAGGTCTAGACCATAACTTGGAGCCTAGGTCTAGACCATAACTTGGAGCCTAGGTCTAGACCATAACTTGCAGCCTAGGTCTAGACCATAACTTGCAGCCTAGGTCTAGACCATAACTTGCAGCCTAGGTCTAGACCATAACTTGCAGCCTAGGTCTAGACCATAACTTGCAGCCTAGGTCTAGACCATAACTTGCAGCCTAGGTCTAGACCATAACTTGCAGCCTAGGTCTAGACCATAACTTGGAGCCTAGGTCTTGACCATAACTTGGAGCCTAGGTCTAGACCATAACTTGGAGCCTAGGTCTAGACCATAACTTGGAGCCTAGGTCTAGACCATAACTTGCAGCCTAGGTCTAGACCATAACTTGCAGCCTAGGTCTAGACCATAACTTGCAGCCTAGGTCTAGACCATAACTTGCAGCCTAGGTCTAGACCATAACTTGCAGCCTAGGTCTAGACCATAACTTGTAGTCTAGGTCTGGTCCAATACTTGTGGCCCAATATTTGCGGCCTAGTTTTGGCCCAAAAACGTGGGTAATTAACTATTAGTTTTCCCCTGGAACACGACCCACCAATCAGTTAACAACCAGGTACTCAATTACTAGTGGGTGAACAGAGGCGAACAATTAAAAATTGGCTCCTAGTCAATCCTCTCTGAACGGACTAGAACCCAGACCAAATACCTGCCTTGTGACGCAGTGATGATAAAGACAATACATTTAATCAATCGCTTAATCAATAAACTTAATCACCTGCGCCATCAGGGACTGACCTAGTTCTGGCTAAAATACTTGCAGTTCAGTTCTTCAACAACATTTGTAGTCTATGTGTGAGAGTATTTGTACAAAAATATATTAAAATTAATCACAAAGCGACGCATTGAAAAACTAAGGTGCGTACCTGGTGGCTGGCAGGGATCTATCATTGGCCCGGAAGTGCCACATCAGAGCATCAATATCCTTGAGAGGGAACCTGGATCGGTTTGACGTAGTCATGCAGGTGTTGACGGGACACCCCGCCCGCAGGAACGGCTCCCGACCAAACCCGAACCCGTAATGCATGTTGTCGTAAGCCTGTAGATGTGCGTAAAGTTCACAGTAGTTTACAACAGTTCACAAAAGTGCACATTTAGGGAGGTTTTTACTATACAGTACTGTAATAATTAGCGAAAATTGTAACAATATCCAGATCCGTTAATGTGTTAAGGAAAGACGAAATGCCACTAACTTTAATTTCCATAGAATATTACATTTTATATTCATTTAACCATTTAACAAGTAGAACATAACCACCGCCTTTTCAGCCAAACATCCGTGGTCGATAAAATACAGCATAAATAATAGTTTGTAAACAACTAATACATATCCGTTATTATAGACCTCATTATAAAAGATTACTTTTAGTCCTGGACTATGTACAGGACTTAAAGTGTACTTGGTGGTTGGTCAGTAAGCAGTTGTTGCGGCCTAATGTCTTTCAACCTCTGGGAGGTTATTAAGTCCAATTTATCAAACCAAACTAAACTTTATGGAAGATTATATACACCAAAAGGTGTATTTACACTGGTTAGTCCTGGATACGTTCCAGACTAAATTAAGTATACTTTGCTGAATGGTCAGCAAATGATTCTAGTGGCCCTAATAATCTTCGTTTGTATTTTCTACCTTTCTGTCTGCCATTTGGAACCTGTTTGTTTATGCCTGCCCGATGAGTCCTGCCTTCCTGTCAATTTCTTCATGGCTGCCTATCAGTTTCTATCAGTCTTTTCCAGCTATCCTCTCTTGTTTTTTCCGGCGTGTCTGCGTGTCTACCGCTTTCCTTGCTTGCTGGTCGGTTTATAGATTTGTCCAGCTGTTATCCTGTATTTCTTCCTTGGACTCTCGAATACGTAATGAAATTTATTCAGCTAAAATTGGCGAATGAACTATATATTGTCAGAGACAATAGATTTACATTGTCGGGAATAGGAAACCTTTTAGCAATATAGAGGTTTCCTTAGGCCAACAGACCTCCCAAGGAGATGACCCACAACAATACACACATTTGATCTCTAATTTTTATCGAACCATTTTTTTTAAACACAAACTATCACCTTTTTCATTCCTCAATGTCGTGGAATGTTAAGTTGGTAATATTATCCTAATAATACCTACTCTAAAGGTATATATAAACAAATGTCTCCCTGAATCTGTTAAATGTCACCAAATACTCACGCTATTCCAGAAGAGAATCTTCTTTAGTGGGGGATTGTCAGGGTCAAGATCGCCTTTGCTTGCCATCGCTTCATTGTACAAATCCACTGGTCTCGTGGTGATATTTAACGACTTCTCGTCTATGTAGGGTAAGTTTGAATCCTCAGGTAAATTTGAAGAAAATTGGATATTCCCGAACCAGGCATGCGTTTTTACATCCAATGATTCTTTGATTACAGAAATTTTCTTTCCCAAGTGGTCCGCAGTCGATCTGTTTAATAAACCAGATTACCTTCATTTCGCGTATCTATCTACGGGCTCACAATAGCCCGTGTTACTTGGAACTTTTTGTTCCAAGTAGCGAATCTTTAACAACAACAACAACAACAACAACAACAGTACACATTTAGAAAAATTCTATTATTCTACAATTGCTAAAGGCAGGGCAGGTGTAAGAATGAGGACATTTCTGTTAGGTTGAGAGCATGTGTTAATTCGAAAATTGGAATATTGGGAAAATAAATTCACTTGGAGGGAGAGGGGGATACATGGGTATGTCTGTCCGTCTGCCTCCCCCTCTCAATCTCTACCTCTTCCAAACTCCAAGTTAACTACATACCATATTTCACACTTTAACTCGATGAAAATGGCTTAGGGATGTTTATAATTACAATTTTTTCTTAAAGCATTTAATTTAGGCTTACCCCGACGAACTTATGTTTGCCCCATACCAAAGACCACTCCTCCTGTAAATTTGGGTGAGGCTAGACGCAAGCGTCTGGCCTCCAACTTTGGACAAACTCTCTTCTCTTGATCTCTTACTGTTCTCTGGCGAGTTGTTTGACGGCCATAACCAGCAGCTGCTTATGTATCAGAATATTTATAATTCATTCCTAGCAATTTTTGCACCTGTAATTAGACTTCCCTGCCGGTTTGTTCTTGTCAGTTTCACTGAATCTGATTTACTGGAGATTGCATTTACATATGGTTACCAGATTTTTAGGATCCCTTTGGTAATTGTATAAGCCGAAGGCTTCCTTTGAAGGTTGGTTTGAGGAGGGAGAGGTGATGCAAATGTTGTTATTGGGGTCATTGGGGTTTAAGCCTGGGACTTATAGCCTGGTTGTGAGATGGGTGGTGGCGTGAGGAAATATGTACTCATCTAGTACCATAGGGGTTGAGCTTTGGTTCTTTGGTTCCGCCTCTCAACTGTCAATAAACTTTTGTACAGATTCCTGAGCTTACTGGGCTCTATCATATCTACATTTGAAACTGTGTATGAAGTCTGCCTCCACCAAATCACTGCCTAATGCATTTCGTTTGTTAACTACCCTGAAAAAGTTCTTTCTAGTGTCTGTGGCTCATTTGGGTGATCAGTTTCTACCTGTGCCCACCTTTGTTAGTGTTCCACCCATGCTAAATAGTTTGTCTTTGTCCACCCTGTCAATTCCTCTGACAATTTTGTAGGGGGCAATCATGTCTTCCCTTACTCATCAGTCTTCCAGGGACGTGTTTGTGTGTGTGAGTGTGTGTGTGTGTTTGTTCCTTTGAAAAAATAAACCATGTGTCGTTTATTCATATAAATACACCAATGAGAAAATATATATTTAAAATAAACTTCTCATTCACTCACTCTCGCTACTCACACCAGGCTCCTGATGCCATCTGCGAGGTTGCTCTTACGCCCGCGCTGAGAGCTGGTGTAGAGCTGGTAGGACGCCAGCATCAGCACACTCCCCAACACCATCGTCAGGAACACCCGCTGACGAGCGGGGAAGAAATAAGTAATATTCGTCAGGGGGCAGAAAGAGAGGAGATTTTGTTTAATGTAATGGAGGATCGTGTGTGAGTACGTGACTGTGTGTGTGTGTGAGTACGTGACTGTGTGTGTGTGTGTGAGTACGTGACTGTGTGTGTGTGTGAGTACGTGACTGTGTGTGTGTGTGAGTACGTGACTGTGTGTGTGTGTGTGAGTACGTGACTGTGTGTGTGTGTGAGTACGTGACTGTGTGTGTGTGTGTGAGTACGTGACTGTGTGTAAGTACGTGACTGTGTGTGTGTGTGAGTACGTGACTGTGTGTAAGTACGTGACTGTGTGTGTGAGTACGTGACTGTGTGTGTGAGTACGTGACTGTGTGTGTGTGTGAGTACGTGACTGTGTGTGTAAGTACGTGACTGTGTGTGTGAGTACGTGACTCTGTGTGTGAGTACTCTGTGTGTGAGTAGCATCTGTGTACATATGGGTTAGGAAGATGTGTATGGATATATCCCTGTGGCAAATCTGGATAAATAACGTAGATGTAAAAATAAACATTTTAATGTCGATTCAACGTTACTCGAATATATTTTGCCTGATGGGGATGTGTATGTTGAATCTATACTCTCACCTGTTTACAGGGACTTGAAATATATAAGACGCTAGTGCAAGGCTTCCGCTCATTCTCTTAATATCCACGGGTTGCAACGGGATATCCCGTCTAGGCTCACGTACCGCCTTAGACGTGCTTCTTGATCTATTAAGTCAAAACTAGAATATCCTGTTGAGTTCCTCGGACACTTCCTTGGTTCATCACACCCACCTTAGTATTACTTACCTTGGTTTTCCTGACACTTCTAAGCATAGCGAAGAGCAGTGTTGTTGTCTGTACTCTCCCCCACAACAAAGACCTGTATGTAGAATTAAATTAAACAAGTATCAGGAACCAAGACTTGTCGACTGTCAATGTCATTAAAGACTTAAACACATAATAATATAGTGGAGCTATTGAAGTCTTATTGACCCATATTTGGCAGCTTCATTTATATATAATCTCTCATTAAAGCGCTTATCTAACCTATCCTACAAATCCCCCCAACCTATCCTTTAAGTCACTCTTGCACTTAACAGACCTATCCTCCAAGTCATTCACTCAAGCACTTAACAAACCTATCCTCCAAGTCACTCACTCAAGCACTTAACAAACCTATCCTCCAAGTCCCTCACTCAAGCACTTAACAAACCTATCCTCCAAGTCATTCACTCAAGCACTTATCCAAGCAATCCTTCGAACGTCGCAATGAGCTTTGTTTTTCTGTTTATTCACGGAAACTCGATCCGCCGATTTAGCAATCAAATTCCCCAGTCAGTATTTGTCTATTTATTTGATATATCTAAACCTTCCTTATGTGAATCCATTGTTTCGTGTTTTAACTTGAGTGTACTTTTGTTTTAACTCTGTTGATAATCCCTGGGATTCGAGGACAGATCAGAAGCTGGAATGTGAGATAGACCAAGAACTGGGCTGTGAGGGTCGACTTAGGATTCGGATACGAGGACAATCCGAGTTGGAATATGATGGACTTAGAGCTAGGATACGAGGATAGGTAAAGAGCCGGAATATGAGGACAGAGTGAATGAAAGGTGCTCACCCCCTTGGATTAGAGATAGGCTCCTTCAGTACTGTATCTACAGGATCGCAAAATCTCCCGTTAGATCACAGTGAATTAATGTGCCTCAATCCTGGTTCAATCACCAGAATTACATCCATCAATAATAACCCTCCAGAGGTTGTTAGGCCTTAATAACCCTCCAGATGCTAATAGACATTAATAATTAGAGGCAGATAGACATTATACTCTAGAGTTTGGTAGACTTAAAATGACCCTCTCGAGGTTCATAAGACGTCCGCTCAACACCAAACCAGACTTGAGTGAGTCTTGCACCAGAAACTTATTGCTATAGACAAAATAACTTTAGAGAGGTTTAATTCCGGGTTGAGTTCCTTGTTGACGGGTCGTAACGTAGCGACGGTGGTCGGGCCTGTGACGCGCTCATGGTAATGTACACAGGTCCTGTTTAGTGGTCGATATACACACACACACACACACACACACACACACACACACACACACACACACACACACACAAACCTGTGTGTGTGTACACCTGTTGATTGACGGTTGAGAGGCGGGACCAAAGAGCCAGAGCTCAACCCCCGCAAACACAACTAGGTGAGTAGGTGAGTACACACACACAGATGTGTGCGTGTGCGTGTGTTAGAGAGAAATGTATGTAGTAGACATAATAGAAGTAAAATAGACTGGCTAGAAAGACGGGGTCCAAGAGCTAAATAGTTCGATTCTGCAGACACAAACGTAAATACAAATAGTAAATACACACAATCACACATGCATGCTCACACGACCAATGACCAAAGAACCAGAGCTCAATCCCTGCAAGTACAAATAGGTGAGTACAAACACACACACACACACACACACACACACACACACACACACACACACACACACACACACACACACACACACACACACACACACACACATACACAGCTCCAGATTGAAGTCAAAATCTAGTCAAGCATAAGACTAAATTGGAGAAGATATAGAGGTTTGCCACCAGACTAGTACCCAAACTGAAGGGTATGAGCTACAAGCAGAGACTACAGAAATTGCACCTCGCGTCGCTTGAAGATACAAGAGTTAGGGGGGTGGGGGGCATGATCACCATATACAAGATTCTCAAAGGAATTGATAGGGGTAGATAAAGACAGTTTATCCAAAGACTCCATACACAGTTTCAAGTTCAGATATGATACAGCCCAATAGGCTCAGGAACCTGTACACCTGTTGATTGACAGTTGAAAGGCGGGACCAAAGAGCCGAAACTCAACCAACAATTAGGCGAGTGCACACAGGTCATCGCAGCCGAGAAGGCTGAGTTCGGGATTCACAGACCCGGGTTCGGTTCCAGGTCGAAGCAGAAAGAAATGAACAGAGTTTGTTACACCTGATTCCTCTGTTCACCTAGCAGTAAATAGATACCTAGGAGTCGGTAAGCTGCTGCGGGCTGCATTTTGGGGATGTGAGAGAAAAATATATGTAGTAGATATGATAGGTAAAATAGGAATTAGTACATTAGAGAACCGATGGGTTCTCTATTGTTCTCTAAAGATGGGGTCCAAGAGCTAACAACACACACACACACCCTAACCAGCGCTGAAGTTGCAGCAAATAAGTTAAATTCTCTGCGTATTAGTGAGTTTATGTAACTTATATTGTGTACCTGGTAATACTCTCTATCATGTTTCAAATGTACCATATATAACATTTAAAGTAATATTATTATTATTATTATTATTATTATTATTATTATTATTATTATTATTGTACATGTGCTAAAAATCTGTAAACCAAGCATCCCATAGATGCTAAACAATACAGCAGAAACACCGAATAATTAATAATTTACAATGTTACAATGTTCTCTCAATTTACAATGTAAATTAATAATTTACAATGTATCAATAATTTACAATGTTCCATTAGCGGGGGGAGAACCACCAAACAGCAAGAAAACGGCTAGTGCCATACTTTTATACAAGGAATATTCACTACTATAAAGTATACGTATATTTCTACAAGGAATATACGGCTACTACGCCATAGGCCAACAGTGCTGATACGTATATACTTTTAAAGGCCCTAGACAAATTAATCAGGATATGAGAGTATACTGCAGGCGATGAGTCACAATAAGGTGGTTAAAGTATGTTGACCAGACCACACAATAGAAAGTGAAGGGACGATGACGTTTCGGTCCGTCCTGGACCATTCTCAAGCCGATTGTGACGACTTGAGAATGATCATATCGATTCTCAAGTCACAATCGACTTGAGAATGGTCCAGGACGGACCGAAACGTCGTCGTCCCTTCACCTTCTAGTGTGTGTGGTCTGGTCAACATGAGAGTATACTCCTTCAGCTTAATATTATAGCAGCTAAATTACTAGATTGGAGGGTTACAAAACCAAATATATCTGCAGTTTTATACGTAGATATGACAAACATGTACGATGTCTATCATATCTATGTATAGAACATTGCATAAGGCGACCGATGGTTGGAAAGGCTGGGTCCAAGAGCTGAAACTCACTACTACAGGAACAAATAATCAAGTACATGATCCCAACATATATAACATACTCAGGGGGAATAGACATTTCAGACGAGGATAGACTATCTAGGACGGGTGGCACACGATCAAAGGAACATGACAAGCCGCCGACTTCCAGTACTCGTCGAGGGGCACTATAGTCTTAGTGGCCCTCGGGTAAATCAGGAAACTAAGTATCGGAATGTCCCCTCAGTTAGTATCCCGAGCAAATGGAATTTATCAAAGAATGAAATGGTGGAGGTAGACTCCTTATACAGCCTCCAATTTAGATAAAACGGAGTTACAATTAGCTCTGTAACCCTTACACTGATTAAAGGCTGACAGGCGGGGCCAAAGAGCTGTAACTCATCTTCCGCACATACAACTGGCTTTATAAGAATGTAAATTTTGCCCGAAACGCATTGCGTAATAGTGGCTTTAGGCATTGTATGTACTAGCTCTATCTATATATCAATCCATTAATATAACATCACTTGTATGTATGTACCTTACCTGAATAAACATATTTATTTTATTTATTTATTAACTAGGTAAGTTTAACTAAGTCTCCCCCCACACCCTTGCCTCCACGTGTCACTATTAATAGAGAAAAGCTTGAGCTTTGAGTCATGACACCGAGTGTCCCTGATATACAATACAAGCATGGTAGTCAGGACTACATTGACGAGTCAAAACACAGCTAGCTACCGGCAATAAGCGGGTCCACTTGTGGATACACGAGCGGGTACAGGAGTGGGAACACTTGTGGATGTACGACTGGGTACACTTGTGGATATATTTATTGATTTATTTATATACAAGAAGGTACATTGGGTTTATGAGTGCACAGAGACTTGAAGTTTTACATTCTTATAAAGCCACTAGTACAAGTGGATACACTCGTGGATGTACGAGCTGGTACAGGAATGGGTACACTTGTGGATGTTATAGCGGGTACAGACGTGGGTACAGGTGAGATCAAAAGAATGGCGTAAGATCCGGATGATGGTGTGGGTCAAAGATGGTATCAGGGAGGTCAGGATGGTGTGGGGTCAAAATGGTTATGTCGGGTCGATAAAATGGTGTGGGGGTCAACAGGAAGGTGTATGGGGTCAACAGGAGGGTGTAGGGGTCAACAGGAGGGTGTAGGGGTCAACAGAAGGGTGTACAGGGTCAACAGGAGGGTGTAGGGGTCAACAGGAGGGTGTAGGGGTCAACAGGAGGGTGTAGGGGTCAACAGGAGGGTGTAGGGGTCAACAGGAGGGTGTAGGGGTCAACAGGAGGGTGTAGGGGTCAACAGGAGGGTGTAGTGGTCAACAGGAGAGTGTAGGGATCAACAGGAGGGTGTAGGGGTCAACAGGAAGGTGTGTGTGTGTGGTGAGGGAGGGGGGGGGGGGGTCAGCAGGAGGGCTGTAGGGGTCAGCTCACCTGAGAGGTGGAATCAGTTGACTGCAGGAGCAGCAACAGTGCGCACCGTAGAGACACTTAAGACAGACTGGGCCAACCTTGCTTGGTAAAGACTTCTTTCACTCACACCCCTCACTCGCTCCCCTTCTCCCTCATTACCCCTCACTTGCTCCCCTTCTCCCTCATTATCCCTCACTTGCTCCCCTTCTCACTCATTACCCCTCAATCGCTCCCCTTCTCCCTCATTACCCCTCACTTACTCCCCTTCTCACTCATTACCCCTCACTTGCTCCCCTTCTCACTCATTACCCCTCACTTGCTTCCCTTCTCCCTCATTACCCCTCACTTGCTCCCCTTCTCACTCATTACCCCTCAATCGCTCCCCTTCTCACTCATTACCCCTCAATCGCTCCCCTTCTCACTCATTACCCCTCACTTTTCACTATCTTCCACGTTACTACTTAGGCCTCAAACGCTACACCAAACTATCAGTCTCTGGAGGGTTATGAAGGTCACCGCAATAACTCACTGGCCAACCAGCAAGTTTATTATAATTTAGTCCTGGACTATATTCAGGACTAAAGTAAACTCTCAGTATATATATATTATATATATTATATTACATACAGAGTAGCAGAGTGCATCTACAGGTGTGTGTATATTCTTTGTCAGCAATATAAAATACAATGGAAAATGTTGTATAATAATATAACAGGAAAAAGTAACTGATGTACAGAACTGCAGCAATGTATATTTAACTTTCTCATATTTCAAGAAAATCTTGTAGATCTGAGGTAAAGTGAAATCGACATCAGTAATTCCATCTATCATCATACTATCATGCAAGAGGAGCCACACATATATGGATCATCCAATAAAATCAGCAGACTTCTAGATGTTACTACTGCTCGGGTTAGACTCGGTTACAAGTATCTCTGGGAGTTCTCATTATCTGCTGATGTAGACCTGACCAAATGTAAACTGTCAACAAAATTATTCGCACACCCTCCGTCACTATGTGATGGAATGCGAAAAAATACGTGAATTCAGAGACAATTCTATAATCAATGTTCCAAAGATGTGTAAATATTTCATTCAAAATGATCTGAAATCTTAGCCAAATATCCCCAGTTTGTTAACTGTAGGTAGTAATTAAGTGATTGTAACCTATCCACCGCTGCCCACTAGATGGGGGGCGGTGTGCAGGACAAACATATCAATTGTGACACTAGCTCTCCACATATGTCAGTTGCTTAATTTAGAAACTGTACTTGTGGTCGATCTCAAACCCATTTATGATGTGACGACTTATACTGAATTTTGTAACTAGCTCATCAAGAGTGTAACTTGCTTAGCTAAATGAATTGTGGGGTTCAGTCCCTGAGCCCATTATATGCCTCTGTAACCCTTTCCACTACCCCCCACAAGATGGGTATGGGGTGCATAATAAACTAACTAAACTAACTACACCCATACACAAATGCAGATACATGAAAAGTGCAAAACAGGTACTAGCAGAAATAGATACATAGGTAAATAACGAAGCAGAAAAGTATACACGAAGATAGTTTTTTTTAGTTTAGTGCGTTCATTATGCACCCCATACGAATTTTGTGGGCGGTAGTGGAAATGGTTACAGAGGCACATAACTAGCTCAGCGACTGAACCCCACAATTTATTTAGCTAAGTAAGTTGCAATCACGATGAGCTAGTTAGATATAGAGGAGCAAGACGAGTGATAAAATAATATAACTGTTACCCCTTAATAATAATTTTCTTTTGGCAAATAAAATTACATTTAAAGAAAACGAAATAATATTTGGATGTCTAATGTAAAAAATGAGGTATAAATTACGCACAGAAATCCCAATAGCGTAATTTGACCAGACCACACACTAGAAGGTGAAGGGACGACGACGTTTCGGTCCGTCCTGGACCATTTTCAAGTCGATTGAGAATGGTATGCATCAAATGAACAAGGGTTGTGTAAAACCCTGGGGCCGAATTCAGGAAGGTACTTACGAAGGTTTTTCCTCTTAGCTAAGAGCGTTTTCCGTCTTACCGCCTTCGTGGCGGCTACGTCCGTATTCAATTAACTACCCTAAGTGGAAAAACCTTCGTAAGTTCATTCCGGGATTTAAGTGCTGGTTTGTGTCTCGGAGAGGCTGCAGGATCCAGTAAGTTCAGTAGAACTTCGGTTTCAACTCTGTTTGACCATGTCATAGCTCAGTCGATAAAGGCAGCATCTGGGATGATCTCGGACGGAGGTATAAATTAATTTTAATTTTTTCAGGGATATAAATATATACACTCAATTATATTTTTACCAGATTTACCCGAGGGCCACTATTTCTCTAGTGGTCTCGCCCTCCCTATCCAGGATGCGACCACATAATAGTTGCCTAACTCCCGGGAATTGATTGACTGCAAGGTGAACAGAGGCATTATGTTAAGAGAAACGTGCACCAGGGTAAAAAAAAAGCTGCAGATAATAACAATAACAACACTAAATGTACATTAAATCTATAAACATTTAATTTTTATTAAATAGTTAAATAAGTAAATAATAAATCTACAATTCAACAACCATTCCTAAGGAATACCTACAACCACACAAATCCATATTTCTACACTCCCTCACTTTAAAACTACACACCCTGAGGTGTTTTCAAACCCACTTTGCACAAGGGCCGAAATTGCTGTGCATAACTGTGGCGTTGTTAAATGTTCATATGTCGTAACAAACAATTAACCATTGTATCATATCTGTACAATTTTATAAATATAAATTATTATCATCATTATTCAACTAAAATACGAATAGATATGGTCAAGTACATACTGTGTGTCAACACATTACATAATTAAGAACTATATTCTAAACATCCTCGATGATTAAAGTACGCAGCACTACCAAACAAATTAATTAATTATACCTGTTTACGACGGGCTTACCATAACCCGTGCTACTTGAAACTTTTTGTTCCAGGTAGCGAATTTTGAACAACAACTATCTTTACTTACGGGATATTCATGCCCGTGACACCTCTTGAGTGGCTTAATCTTTATCAATCAATCTATCTTTACAAAGTCAGTCTACCTACATTTTTATGACCTCACAAATGTGGTAACTAATAAAGATTTTAAAGCCTTCTCACCATAGTCAGAGCGACTCTTGGACTGTTGTCTTCAATCATTAGTTTTAACATTACAGTCCCAAAGATAACAGCCATAATTATCCAAAGTGCATGGGCTAAACATATTCAAATTAATCTCAAAACAAGTTGATCAACCGAGCTGTGATTTATATGCCAGGCTGCAAGCAGCTGCGTCTGGTCATGACCGTGACCGTGACTTCATGACCAGATCGTCAACCAGGAGCCGCGACGCTGATCCTCATAATAAAATACATGAATATAACAAGCATTTAAATGCAAGTTAAAGTGAGGTAAGCCCCTCATATCAACAACCCCACACCTCAAACCCTATTCCCAACCCTCAGTGTTGTAAAACACTCAAACAGTTTAAGTCTGGGTTTGCCAAAACTTTCAACAAATAACCCAAAACAACCGACGAAGTTATGGACCGAGTTACTCTTTTCAAGGTTCTGTAAGTGTAGGATGTAAGGTCAAATCTTCATATGGCAATTCTAGATACGCTCACCATTACCCCTAAATGGATCCAATACAAGTCTTCTCCTGTTTCTGAGTGTGTGGAAGAATGATGATCTCTTAGCTAAACTTGTACCCCGCGGGTGCAGTGCTGTACTGAGCACTGAGTATTGTTATCGCCTTTAGCCCAGGATACAGATACCTTGCGGTACATTTTGATAGTGGGCAGCAAAAATAATATTCGTCCAAGCTATTTTAGCGTTATTTTAATATTTGCAGGAATAAGAAAACGTCTGGCGGTAACTCTGGTATTTCGGCTGGCGGTATTATTTAGGCTGTTGTAAACTTAGCCATCTTAACCGCCTGGAGGGGAAAGTACCTTAATAAAACGAACTGAATGTAACTTAAAATTACAAGTTTCCAGCAAGTATATGAAGAATAAGATTTCAGTAATATCAATATATTACCATTTTTACCATTTCAATATTAACATTTTATAAATTTTGCTAGAATTTACCTACTTATCTGTTAGATTAAGGACCTGCCCGAAACGCTGCGCGTACTAGTGGCTTTACAAGAATGTAAACACCATGCTATGTATCCTCACAAACCCAATGTACCTTCTTGTATAAATAAATAAATATGGAAGCATAACCACGTAATTATGGGATCTACTTTCAGACTACCATTCAATTTATTCAAACGATAAAAAGGTTGTGTAACAAATCATATGTAGTAGCTTACCGTAAGATACGTTTAATATACTTAACTAGCCTTTAAATCTACCAAAAGTGAGTAGAAATACTGCCTCACTTCCGGCAAAAAAAAAAGATAAATTCTAGTGAAAGCTTTAGAATTTCCTTTTAAATTCTTTAAGAGAAATACGCGAGTAAGAAGGAATAATTTTTAATTGAGCAACTAATGACCTATGTAAGAGGCCATTAGTTGCCTCTTATGGACCCGTTTACCCATTGACCCCCGAGCAATGATTGGTACTCACGTGGTCCACTGAGACAGTTTGTCGAGACCACTTAAAGTCAAATCATGGATGACATGGGCAGAGTCCGCTCATACAGTATGTAAGTATGTGCACGTCCCAAATGTGTGAATTTATGTCTGCTGTAAACAGGTGCGTACACCGGGGCGTCTGGCGCTACACTGCCACTAAAGCGGCCGTCCGTCCCATGTAAACAGAAGATATGGTTTTGACGAGATGGTTAATTGGACAAACGCGGCAAGATGGACTTAGTGGTATTAAGCATTGGTTTTACCCTTAAATATTATGCATATGACATGAGTTCTTCTTGCCTGTAGGCAAGAAGGACTCATGTCATACGTAAATATTTATATTAAAAAAAATCCAACAAGAGAAGAAAGTTTCTTTGTGTCGGAGTGTCTACGTATCCGTGATCGCATTGGCAGCTCGGATATGTGTTGTGACACAGGACGTCTGGTTATACTAGCGGATGGCAGCGTATACATCTCGCCTGTATAATTATGGGAGGATCTCATTGCCATTTTAAATAGGGAGAGAGTGGTGGGGGAAGGGTCTCGGCTGACCTGACCTTCGCCAACAGTTTATATAGCCCTTTGTCTAACTGCAAGTAACGTCATAGAAGTCCACAAGATCCACGAAGGTCAGCTCGCTACATTGGAAGGTGGGGTCCGGCAAACTCATACAGGTCACCCATGAAGTACTTCCGCTGGCATCGTGCTAGAGAGCCCTAACTGAATATTTGTATCTATTTGGGTCACAACACCACCCACCTCTCTAGCCCGCATGTCCGCATATGCTCACTTGCAAGCAACATATGAGGACTGAAGGAAGTAAACTTTCAGGGGAAAGTGCCAAGTGCCTTATCCTGACCCCCTTCCTGGGAAGGGGGTCAGGATAAGGATTTGGGATGGGACGGGGGGAAAAGAAATAGTGCCCAACCACTATGACGGTCGGGGATTGAACGCCGACCTGCGTGAAGCGAGACCGTCGTTCTACCGTCCAGCCCATATGAGGACTGAGACCAGCAGGGTGCACCCGGTGATACCTTCTACCCTACAGTATGTGCCAGTTCTCCAGGTCTGGTACCTGGTATAGCGTTTAGCTCACAATTTGCAAATAAATTTCCCCTAACCTGAAGTATTAGACTGCTTGCCTGCATGCAGTCCAAATAATTCCACATGCAGCCCTCAAAATGTTACATCTGAGTTTAGTTTAGTTCATTTATTATGAAGCATCACTTCTGCCTCCCGTCGTCTGCTGCTTCAGTGACACAGTCACTGAAGCAGGTCGTTGGTCGTTGGTCGTAGGTCGTTGGTCGTTGGTCGTAGGTCGTTGCTAGGTACTGAGGTTCTCCACGACCTTGGCATAATCCAGGCTGTCAGACCTGATGAATGTTGCCAAATTCTCGTCGTTGCTTAGGGCCGTCATCTTCCCGGGGAGCTTCCATCTCCAGAGTAACGGTGATGCCTTGGTCCCAGGGTCATGGCACCTAGCGCCCGTGCTGCGCTCCTGCTAGTCCCGTTCTGCAGCATTCACACCACCGTAAATTCGCAGCAGCTCCAAAGCTAACCTTGCCACTGTGCTTACGACTGCTGTAGCACACTACTCCAGGACCACCTGTCCAGAGTATATATAATATATGGCTGCATCCACACACATGCCCAGAAGCTATATAACCTCACCAGCATACTCCAGGACCGTAATCTTCCACACGATTCCACGTCGCCATCACTGGGCATAACTTCTGTAAATGTAGACGATCCCTACATTCCCTACAAGCCAACTTTCATAGATCCCCTTGGCTCTTCACTCATTATTATATGGCAACTCCCTCGTCTTCTTACTTTTCCCCTCTTATATATCCTAGGATCAGCTCAATGGCGGTTGCTACTAGCCCTTATCCCTGCTATGATGTCAGGGGGCGATTCTGGCCCATACTCTCACACTGGGCTTACTTCCTCTCCAATTGTATTTTTCCTGCAGGATGCTCTTCCTCGGTAAGTCTCGCGGCTCTCTCAGTCCCGTGACCTAGTCCCGAAGGACTGTCTTATGCCAACCACTTAGTAATTATGCCCAGAAGGTAGTATGATGTGCAAGCTGTAGCACAAGATGTGCAAGCTGTAGCATGGCGTCTGCCTCTCCAAGCCAGGTTATTTAATATGCCAAAGAGCTTTATTTCTGTACCTTTACTCTGCTCCCGTAAACTTTCCTTCTCATTAATTACAACAGGTATTAAATATACGCATTAATTAATTTCACACAATTCTATTTTCATCATAAACATATATATTACACTATATGCTTGTACTGCCACTGGCTTGCCTCATGCGAGAAATCTGAAAGCAGGCTTTGATCAGTACTTCTCTTGCCTTAGTAATGTGGACCCCATACTTCCCAGCTACCATCACAACCCCAGTGTCGTGAGTCATGACACACAGACCATCGTTAAACTTTGATCTACACTGTGTAAACTTTCCTATAAAATAGGAGTAGCAGCACATTGTTGTGTATACCTAAGCTTGTTAATAACGAAATCACTAAACCGTTAATCACTTAACTCGCCCTTGTGAGGTCCGCACCCACTTAGCGGTCACGCGCGAACTCCTCACAAATATTCACCCTCACCTCCTTGAGGTTACCTTGAGGTGCTTCCGGGGCTTAGCTTCCCCGCGGCCCGGTCGTCGACCAGGCCTCTTGGTTGCCGGACTGATCAACCAGGCTGTTGGACGCGGCTGCTCGCAGCCTGACGTATGAGTCACAGCCTGGTTGATCAGGTATCCTTTGGAGGTGCTTATCCAGTTCTCTCTTAACACTGTGAGCGGTCGGCCAGTTATCCCCCTTATGTGTAGTCTTGACCTCTGTCAAGTCGTCAAAACGCCTAACATTCACATTATTGTACATTCACATTATTGTTCCCCAACTAACGCAACCCCCAAAATATTAACGTTTAGTACCAATGAACAATTCCCTCACATTACTTTGCGCTACCACCTGTAGCTCCTCCTGATGCAGTCTCATCTTGTGAGGTTACATCGAATAAGTCGCCGTTACAAGTTGGCACATTGTGCACATTCACGTCTGAATACTGATGGCTCATTTTCTTTCATCTGACGCTCACAGTAGCACCAACTCTCTTGTTTTTCGCCATCTTACCTTGGATTTATACATGGGAGGACGTAGTAAGTGCTGGAACCTCACTAGGAGGTTAATAGCCGGTTCTCACAATACTGTCAAAATCAGGTTATCATGATCACTATAAACATCATGCGAGTATCAAGGGATATGTAAACAGAGGTGTGCCCCTCTTCTTGGTGTATACACACTAAAGTATACCTGCTGGTTGGTCAGTAAACTACTGTGGTGGCCATAATAACCCTCCAGAGGTTGATAAGGCCAACACCAAAGTGTGAATATGACAGAAGTCTCAATGACTGCTACATACTAAACAAGATGAGTCCCCCTACAGTGGATGTGGGGACGACTCGTATTCCAGTCACACAGGTATGACTGGAACACTAAACACCACTCCCCGCTACCTCCAGGCTGTACCGGTACTCTCGTCCCCCCGGTCAAGGCCAAAGCCACACTCCTTAGAGGTGAGCTGTATGCGGCTTGCGTACACGAATAAGGCAGACAAATTGACAAATATGGCGGCGGAGATACAAGAAGATATCCTGGGGCCAGATTCACGAAGCAGTTATGCAAGTACTAAAGAAAGTGTACATCTTTCCTCAATCTTTGACGGCTTTGTTTACATTTATTAAATAGTTTACAAGCATGAAAACTTCCCAATCAACTGTTGTTACTGTTATAAACAGCCTTCTGGTGCTTCGGAGCTCATAAACTGTTTAATAATTGTATACAAAGCCGCCATAGATTAAGAAAAGATGTACAGGTTCGTAAGTGCTTGCGTAACTGCTTCGTGAATCTGGCCCCTGGAACGTAAGCCTCAAATGATCGCAATAACGAAGAAATTCCTCACCTCTCTCTAGCCTATTTATTGCCTGCATCTACTTTCTCATCACAATCGACTTGAGAATGGTCCAGGACGGACCGAAACGTCGTCGTCCCTTCACCTTCTAGTGTGTAGTCTGGTCAAACGAAGAAATGATTGAATGTAATTTGGAATTCGAACTTCCCAGGAGGACTTCAGTTAACCAGGATAAAGTATTCATTAATCATTTACGCAACGACTTGCGAAACATTTACATCCTTCCGCAATCATGCTATATTTACACTTACTAAACAGTTTATAAGTTACGAAGCAGTACAAGGTCGTTTATAACAATGATAATCTTGGATTGTAAGTAAAGTCTTGAAGCTTGTCAACTCTTCGATAAATGTAAACAATGTCGCCATGAATGAGGAAAGATGTACAGGTTTCGTATGTGGTTTCTTAAGGAATGGTTCTAGTGTTGTAGCTGCAGTTCTTATGCTACAGTGGTAATACAAACCACGATGGAAATATACCAATGGAGAAGAAGAACGTAGCAACAGTTGTTTTAGCATAACCAGTATGAAAGACTATGACGAAGAGCTTAACTCTTATAAGAAAAGTCTATAACGAAAAGCCTAACTCTTAAGAAAAACTATAGCGAAAAGCTTAACTCTTAAAATAGACTATAACGAAAAGCTTAATTCTTAAGAAAAGATTATGACGAAAAGCTTAACTCTTAAAACAAGAATAAGACGAAAAGCTTAACTCTTAAAATAAGAATATGACGAAAAGCAAGAGAAATAACAGCAACAGAAGATCAAAAGCAACATATTCAGTAACAGTAGTAGCAACAACAGAAGAGCAACAGCAACAATAGAAGCAACAACAGCAATAGAAATAGCAACCACAACAGAAGAAGCAACATCAAACAGGAAACAAAAGAAACAGCAGCAAACAGAACAACAGCAAAACGGCGGAGGCTACATCATAAAAGTAACAGCAACAACAGCTGCTGTTACTGGAAGAGGAGAAGAGAAAGGCGAAGGTTGGAGCAAATTAAGGCGTGGAAGTGACAGTCAGTCATTGAGGGAAGAAGGATGTCAGTCAATCAGGGAGGGAAGGAGCCAGTCAGCGAGGTAAGGAGCCAGTCAGTGAGGGAAGGAGCCAGTCAGTGAGGGAGTCAGGTTGGAAAGAAGAGTCAGAGAGAAAGGCAAGTGGTGAGTTAGCAAATTGGGAATCTCGTTTGGTATCGTGTCAAGCAGGAAAGGAATTCAGGTATAGGAACGAATCTCGACAGGCTTAGAGGGTTGGAAACTGTCAGGGAGGGAGGGAAGAAGGAAGGGGTGGAGGGGTGGAAGGATGTAGGTAGGTAGGTGGGTAGTTAAGTATGGCTCCAGACGGTCAGCGCGTGAGGTAAGAACGGTATACTTGCTCAGTCCCTCAGTGCTCGCTCAACACTGGCGGGGTAAGGGCGCAGGGAGAGACACGACGCTCAGTTACTGACACACACTCAATACCACGAGGGTCTTACGTCTTGGCTTGGAGCCCAATTGCTTCCCACTGCCTCTCCCTGCTTGCACGTTCCTCCCTTACTGCTTACACGTGTTCCCCCCTCACTATTAACACATCTCCCTCACCATCCGCTTCCCTCTTTTTACTCAGTCCCTTTACCTGCACTACCGCAGTCAACAGTTATAAAATTTACAATTTACACGCATCGTAAAAGGACCAAAAACACAGCAGTGAGTTCTAAATACATCGGTGGAGATGCGTGTTGTCAACGGCACCTGCACGACATGACCACCACCAGCCGTGCAACTTTCCCCTGCAGACTGCGAGCTCCAGTTCCCTGGAATAGCAACGGACCAACGACAGTCGTCACAACTGGTGGGAGAGGTTGCCTTGGCGTGGGTATTAGGTAAGTAGCTTTGCAAATGGGTATCTCGTAGGAGTTATGGGATGGGGAGGGTGGTGTTGGGGAATGTGTTGAAAAAGTGTAGGGTGTTATTTAGCTCTAGGGCCCCGCCTCGTAGTTTGCGCCTGGTGTTTCTGTACTGCGTTTAAAGTTAATGTGATGCTGATTGAGAGGTAAATTACGTTTTTTTTTCCATATTCTGCTTTGAGAGCTTTTGTTCTCGCAGTTCATCCTGAAGCTCGGTTTTATTAAGTCATAGTGATTGTGCTCATGATACCCGTAGTGATTGTGCTCATGGTACCCGTAGTGATTGTACTCACGATACCTGTAGTGATTGTGCTCATGATACCTGTAGTGATTGTGCTCGTGGCGCCTGAAGTGATTGTGTTCATGGCACCCGTAGTGATTGTGTTCGTGGCACCTGTAGTGATTGTGCTCATGATACCTGTAGTGATTGCGCTCATGACACCTGTAGTGATTGTGCTCATGGCACCCTTAGTGATTGTGCTCATAGCACTCTTAGTGATTGTGCTCATGGCACCCTTAGTGATTGTGCTCATAGCACTCTTAGTGATTGTGCTCATGCCACCTGCAGTGATTATGCTCATGATACCTGTAGTGATTGTGCTCATGATACCTGTAGTGATTGTGCTCATTCCACCTCAAGTGATTGTACACACACACACACACACACACACACACACACATGTATACATGTATACACACATGTATAGATTGTGTGTACAATCACTTGAGGTGGAATTTATACTTTTTCTGCTATATATATATATATATATATATATATATATATATATATATATATATATATATATATTTTAATTTGAGTTATAACTAACATATATATATATATATATATATATATATATATATATATATATATATATATATTTTAATTTGAGTTATAATAGATATATGACCTAACCTAACCTGTCTTAACCTAACCTAAAGTAACATAACTAAGGTACTAATTTATGTTAATAATATAATATAATAATAATAATAATAATTAAAATAAACCAATTGGACATTTTTTGTGGAAAATAAAGAAAACCATTCGGCCTATTAGGCAAATCATGCCTTACTTAGTAGCCCGAGAAGTGCGTTCTGGCTACTAGGTACAATATATATATTTATATATTATATATATATAATATATATATATATATATATATATATATATATATATATATATATATATATATATATATATATATATATATAAATGTCGTACCTAGTAGCCAGAACTCACTTCTCAGCCTACTATGCAAGGCCATATTTGCCCAATAAGCCAAGTTTTCAGGAATTAATTGTTTTTCGACTACCTAACCTACCTAACCTAACCTAACTTTTTCTGCTACCTAACCTAACCTAACCTATAAAGATAGGTTAGGTTAGGTTAGGTTAGGTAGGGTTGGTTAGGTTTGGTCATATATCTACATTAATTTTAACTCCAATAAAAAAAAATTGACCTCATATATAATGAAATGGGTAGCTTTATCATTTCATAAGGAAAAAATTAGAGAAAATATATTTATTCAGGAAAACTTGGCTTATTAGGCAAATTGAGCCTTGCATAGTAGGCTGATAAGTGCGTTCTGGCTACTAGGTACGACATATAAATATATATATATATATATATATATATATATATATATATATATATATATATATATATATATATATATATATATATATATATATATATATATATATATATTAGTCATCATCTATATGAGTCATCATCATTTATATGAATACATCTTCAGAAGGAATCCTTCTGAAGATGTATTATTAAATACGAAAGTACTTAAGGGAATTCCTATTTCAATTCTTCATATATATATATATATATATATATATATATATATATATATATATATATATATATATATATATATGGCAGAAACTATAGACATGCATTATTAACTATTGCAGAAAGTGTTGGATCCATATTTATCTTCCACGAATTGTCTCTATATTTCTTATTTCCTTTTATACTTGAGAAGGAAGTTGAACAATTTACTTTTAAAAGTTCATTTTACATTTTTATTCGTTCTGATACGGGTCGTTAATGGTCGAATTTCGCTGAATTACGCCTCAACATCTTCGGAGGCAGAGCTGAGGTGAATAAAGTTGGCGGTGACAGTTAGTCCATTTAGAATGATGAGAGGAGAGGAGAGGTCTCAGTCGAGGGGGGACTGGCTGATCTTGGCATTAAAAGTATATCGGGATCCAATATGACTTCTTGACATCCCAGAGCACATCCTTGGGGTAACTTCTCCCAACGTATACTGAAGAGTATACGTATTATCTCATGCATAATAATGTCGTGTAGAAGGGGTCGTCATGGGTTTATTCTTTGATGACGATGTTCTTTGATATTCTTTGCGATTTGTTTGTGGGTATTATTGTGGAGAAAGGCCTAGTTGGTCTGGACCTTAAACCTGATGTATATTTAAGGTATGCTGAAGGTATCTTGGTGTAGGTACCTTACATGGAGTGATTCAGGAAGCTTTTGAGCAAAATAATTCCGTGCTTGAATGGTGCAGACAAGTGGCCTTCCATGAGTGTAACAAGCTCTGAAAGGAATGGTGACTTCCTCACTTTAATTTTTACTGAGAAAACATAAGAATATACCTTAATGATTGTTGTAAATTCCGTGATTGATACAGGCATAGTGCTGTCGATGCCAACGTCAACCAACTTCTTACAGGTTGGAGGTTGGAAGCTCCAACCTCAACTAGAAGCAGGTTGACGAGGAAATAAGTTCTCGTAAGGCAGGTCAACGTTAACAATGGATAGCAATGATTATATGGAGAAAAAAACATTAAAAGGAAGATGTTCCAAACTTGTTGGAACAACTTGTTGTTCCAACAAGTTCCAACAAGTGATGAACTTGTTCCACCCATAAAGCTCTTATACAAGTTCCTGCTTCCAACATCCCACAAGATGGAGGAAAAAAAACGAAAAGACGTGATTAAGAAAAGATACAGTTTACCATTTATTTTAAGATTAGAAAAACGGCCAACTTGCTCATTAAGATCTCACTCGACACAAAACGGAACGATTTGCAACAGACGAATGTCGTCTATGCCCGTATTGCCCGCTTTTAGACTTTCAACCCCAATGATCTCAATATAAAGGCAAGACGAAATCACGTTTAAGTCGCTTGATAATGCACAAATATCATCGGTTCCATCCAAGATCACATCATTTCTATACACAGCCAGACTGATATCCTGATTAGCAACACTGATTTATTCGCAATCAAAGATTAGACGTAGCAGGAGCACTACATATGAAACACTTTCATTCAGTTATCAACATCTAGCTTACATTTAGGTATGTTTTACCATCTACAAGACCAAGATAGAACTGCCAGTTTACAACACCGTTACTGCATCTGCGGTTCAATGAGAAAGCAGAGCAAGATTACTCGGTCCTCTCACACTCCATCACCACACCCCTAATTACCCCTCCCATACCACATCACCCTCCCACATTACAAATACCCTCCCACACCACATATAACCTCCCCATGCCACATCTACCCCTCCCACACGTCATTTACATCTCCCACAACACACTTACCCCCTTCGACTCCACGTCTTCCCCTCCCACACCCCGACTGCCCCCCCTCCCACACCCCGACTGCCCCCCTCCCACACCACACCAGCCCCCCCTCCCACACCTTCCCCATCTTTCCACCTAGTTTATCCCTCCCCCACCAAATTCATATCGACTCGCTAAAAGCATGGATATTTATATGTATCAGGCTGCTGTAGTAGTAGCATTCGGAGCGCTTTTGTCCATTTGTCACAGGAACACTCTTGCTAGTGTGTGTATTAAGAGAGACATGGGGATTGTTTGGAGGTATTTAATCTGCGTTTAGTAATATTTCTAGTGAGTGTAAAGAATTGTTTACCTTTGATCTGTGATTTGTTTGTTTTTATTTATATTGCGATTTTAAATGTTAGTTTATGTTTTTTTAATATTTTTACGTGTGTATTTAGTATTTATATCGGGTGGATCGAGTTGTTAGCTCTTGGACCCCGCCTTTCTAACCGTCAGTTGACTAATGTATTGACTCCCCAACTATTTTACACACACACACACACACACACACACACACACACACACACACACACACACACACACACACACACACACACACACACACACACACACACACTTCCACTCTATTCATAATTTTTATTCATAAGCAAACTCTGTTCATAACTTTAAAACTAGACATGATAGGGAAATTAGGACCGGAGTCATTCTGTAAACAACCGATGGCTATAGAAAGGCGGGATCCAAGAGTCAATGCTCAATCCTGCAGGCACCAATAGGTGAGTACACAAGTGTCAGTCTTTAGTATCACGCAACATCTCGTGCTAACACATCACACACATACACACACATCAATAATTTATCATGAAAATGTTCAGCCATTATCGCCAAAAGAGTGCGGCGTCCCCGCCACACTAGTGAACTGGCCAAGGTGCGGCTAAACCTATTCCGTTTGGAGTCATGTACACAATATACGACCTAAAACCTAAAACGCTTATTCGAAGAGTTATAAACAATTACCTAAACGTGAATTTCTTGGATCTGAACATATGTATGATTAGGTGTAAACTTGGAGTGGATTATGTATGATATGTTGTAAACTTGGTGTAGCATCGCCTGGTGTAAACTTCCATCTTTCATCATGAAAGACGTGTTATATATCCGTGGATCATGCAATCAAATCAGTATAGACTCCTAGAGGAGTTATTATCATTTCACACTGTTATAAGTATCTCTGGAAGAGACTTGAGAATGGTCCAGAACGGACCGAAACGTCGTCGTTTCATCTCCTGAGGTGTGGTTTGGTCATTAGTATCTCTAGACGTTTGCTGCTGATGTCGATCAATTTTAATCTGTGTCTGCAAAACTATTCATCCACTCTGCATCACTGTGTGATGGACTGTAACCAA